CACAGATAAGTGACCTCGAAATACTCTCCAGAATGGGAACACCACAGTTTATTTAAGTAGACTTGTTTTTGTGGGCATTTAAAAAGTGTTGTCTAAGTTTTGCCTAAGTCAAAGGGTGTACACATTTGAATGTTGGATAAAGTGGTTTTGTTTTCTTCCATAAGAACTGAACAAGGGACCATCAAAGTGGCTCAGTGGGTAAAGGCACTTGCCAGAAGGCCTGATGGACTGAGTGCCACCCCTGGAACCCACATGATAGCCGAAGTACATAGTTCTGAGACACCTCTCTCTCTCTCTCTCTCTCTCTCTCTCTCTCTCTCTCTCTCTCTCTCTCTGTCAGTCAATCAAAAATGATTAAAAAAAAAAAAGAAAAAAGAACATCTGGACCAGACTGGGGGATGTAGCTCAGTTGCTAGAGTGTATACTATCTGTATCCAGGATATTTTATACCAATTTTAAAAAACGTTTTTATTATGCTCAATTCCTGGGTCTTTTTTGGATACTGTTTTCTTTAATTTATTCAGTGTTTTTGTTACAGGTTTTTGTTTTTGAGACAGGGTCTTGCTGTGTAACACCGACCCTCTGTAGACTAGGCTACTCTCAGAGACCTCCCTGCCTCAGCCTCTCAAGTGTTGGGATTAAAAGCATGCACTACTGTAGCTGTTTTTTTTTTTTTTTTTTTTTTTTTGAGATTTATTTTTATTATTTTTCAAGTGTGTGGGTGCATGCATGAATGTGTGAGTGCAGGTGCCTTCAGTGCAGAAGAGGGAGTAAGGTCCCCTGGAGCTAGAGTTAGAGGTGGTAGTGATGGAGCTCAGGCTCTCTGCATGAGTAGTGTGAGCTCTTAACCATGAGCCATCTCTCCAAACCTCATCTGTTTTCTTACTCTTGTCCCCAAACAGGGGTTTTACACTTTATACGGTATGTTTTATCTCTGGTAAATATACATGTATGGAGCGAGTTCCAGGACTGGCTCCAAAACAATACAGAGAAACCCTGTCTCGAAAAACCAAAATAAAAAATATATATATACATGTATGTACATGCATATTTATGCTGATATTTTTAAGTACTCTTAAATACTTTCACTATTTTATGTTTCAAAGAGTCCCTTTTCCAACCATGAACTTTAGAGTCAATGTATGCATTTCTGTAAAGAAAATATTGGAATAATTTTTGTCAGATGATTGTGTATTTGTGGGTCGTCTTGCAATGCTTAACCATATCTTCTATATCCTTGAGGAAATTGGTATGATTATGTTTCATTTTTCATGAGGTTTTCTTAAATATCTTAAAAGTTGTATTGCTATCATAACTAGAATATTTTGTTTATATATATTATTTTTCTTATTTTACATATCTATCCCAGTACCCTCTCCCTCCCTCTCATATCCCCCTCCCTCCACCCCCCACCCCCCCCCCGTCCCATTCCCCACCAACTTCACAGGTAGGTTAATGCCTTCCAGGAGGGATCATCAAAATCTGTCAAGTCATTTGGAGTAGGATCTAGGCCCTCTCTCCTGCCTCTCGGCTAAGGAAGTATCCCTCCATGGGGAATGTGCTCTCAAAGTCCTTTTGTGCACCAGGGATACATCCTGGTTCCACTATCAGAGGTCCCTATAGACTGCCCAGGCCTTCTAACTGAGACTCATGTTCAAGGGGTCTGAGTCTGTTCAATGCTGGTTTCCCAGCTATCAGCTGAGCTCCCCCTCGTTCAGGTCAGCTGTCTCTGTGAGTTTCTGTAGCCTGGTCTTGACCCCTTTTCTTATCACTCTCTGCAACTGAATTCCAGGAGTTTGGCTCAGTGTTTAGCTGTGGGTGTCTGCTTCTGTTTCTGTCAGTTACTAGATGAGGGCTCTATGATGTAAATTACTTATCAATCTCATTATCAGGGAAGGGCATTTAAGGTAACCTCTCCACTGTTGCTCAGATTGTTAGTTGGGGTCATCCTTGTAGGTCTCTGGACATTTCTCTAGAGTCAGTTTTCTCTTCAAACCAATAATGGTTCCCTCTATTATGGTATCTCCTCTTTTGCTCTCGTCTATTTGTCCCACATGTTCTCCTCTCCTCCCCTTCTCTTTCTCCTAACTCCCTCTCCACTCACTGCCCCCCCTCCCAATATGCTCAGGAGATCTTGTTCCTTTCCCCTTCTGTGAGGGACCTTATATGAATCTCTTAGATTCCTCCTTGTATCCTAGTTCCTCTGGTGGTGTGAATTAAAGGCTGGTGATCCTTTGCTTTATGTCAAAAATCCATATATGAGTGAGTACATACCATGTTCCTCTTTTTGTTACTGGGTTACCTCACTCAGGATGATTTCGTCCAAGTTCCATCCACTTGCCTGCGAATTTCATGATTCCATTGTTTTTTTCCGCTGAGTAGTATTCCATTGTGTAGATGTGCCACATCTTCTTTATCCATTCTTCAATTGAGGGGCATCTGGGTTTCTTCCAGGTTCTTGCTATTACAAATAGTGCTGCTATGAACATAGTTGAACAGATGTCTTTGTTGCATGGATGTGGATCATTTGGGTATATGCCTAAGAGTGGAATTGATGGGTCCTGTGGTAGACTGATTCCTGTTTTCCTGAGGAACCGCCATACTGATCTCTAAAATATTAATTTATTTTATTAAAGACGAGATCTATGTCCAGTCTGGAACTTACTATATAGGTCAGGCTGGCCTCAAACACAGATCCTCCTGCCTCTGCCCTCTGCCCCCTGATTTTCTGCCCTTCTGCCCCTCTGCTCCTCTGCTCTTTACCCCTCTGCCGCCTGCCCTCTGCCCTCTGCTTCTGCCAAGTTCTGGGATTAAGGACATGAACCACCATGCCTGGAATGACTAGAATCTTTTAAAAATTAAAATTTATAATTCATGTGTGATGGAGGCATGTTTTATTCTCAGCACTTCACAAATTAAGAAGCACATAGCTGTGAATTCTAGGCTAGCCTGGACTACATAGCCAGTGTAGCCAGTAAGTCCAGTAAGCCAGTAAGCAAAAACAAAAACAAGTTGAAAATGCTTGCTCTATCATTTTCATTCTTAATTCATTCTCTCACCCTTTCTTGCTGCCCTCTACCCTCTCCGTTTCCTCTCATTCTAGACGAGTCTAACTGTGAATGGAAAATTTCTTGCCATAGAAAATGAGCTGACATTTGTTGCTCAGTCTCTTACTGTCCTGTAGACTGCTTTGTTGAGTGTTCCTCATTTAAAGTGAAATAAGTATATTTCAGAGTTCTTTGTGATTTAGACTGTTTGTGTAGACTTATCCAGTTTATCATCTAAAACTCCAAAATCTAAAATGTTCTAAAATCTGAAACAACACTCAAGAAAATTCAGATTTCAAAGTGTATTAGTCAGGCTTCTCCCTAGAGCATAGGATTTATAAAATAAATTCATATCTAGATAGAGGGATATATATATATATTAGATATATAGCTATATAGATATATATACACACAGATGGATGGATATAGAATATATATTTTTTAATATTTACTTGTTATGATATGTTTAATTATATATATGTGGGGTTTATTAGACTGACTTACAGGATCCAGTTTATCCAACAATGAACTGAAGGCCTAAGAATCTAGTGGTTGCTCAGTCCACGAGGTGGGACGCCTCAGCTGGTCTTCAGTATATGCTGCAATCCCAAAGAAGTAGCTCTAATGCCAGTGAAGGAGTGGACTTGCTAGCAAGAGGGTGCCAGCAGGCAAAGGGAGAGCTTCCTTCTTCCACATCCTTTCTATAGGCTGTCACCACCTATAGTCCAGATTGAGGGGGATCCTCCCACCTCTGGGTTCCACATCAGAAGTGGGTTTTCCCGCTTCAAATGATTTAATTAAGAAAAAAAATCCCTCACAGGTGTGCCCAGCCATTTGAGTTTTAGTTCATTCCACATTTGTCACATTGACAAGCAAGAACAGCTGTCACACACAATTTCAGATTTTAAGATAATGGGTACACAGTTTATAGCAACAGTTTTGCTCTTTCTCCAAAATACAAGCCTAGGGTTTTTATGCTGGGAGGAGGTCGGAGTTCAGGTTTGGTCTAGAACCTCTAGTGTTGCCTGCGTTGAGCTTGATGTTGAAATAGTAGCCTCAAGTGCTGGGCTTCCAGGTGTGAGCCAGCATGCCTGATTTAGTTGGTTTGTTGTTGTTTTCCTTAAATTATTTTGGCTAGAGCTCTAAGAGGGGTTTCAAATGCAGTGGTGGACATCCTGATTGTCATGTGGAAAACCACTGAGATCCACAAGAATGCCCTCTTAGTATTTGCTTTTGCTGTTCTACAGTGGCATCCATTTCTTCTCTGTCCCTTCCCCCACCTCCAAGCATCCAGTGGTAGCATGTTTGGACCCTCAGCTCCTCATGCAGCGTACATTCATGCACATACACAGGGTTGCAGTCTTCCTATCCTGCCTGTGATTTTGTCATCTTCCGTAACTCAAGGTTCACAGAACTCCACCAGCCAGACTCTCTAGCCCTGTCTCATTGAAGAGTTCATTTTTGGGTATCTTTCAGGTACTGTCAACTCACTGCTTCTAAAACTGGCTTCATTTCTAACTGTAGTTTGACCCCTGCACATAAAGAGCACAGTCTGATTCATCATTGGAACCAGAAATAGAAGAGGTCTCCTCTTCAATGAGTAGGCCTCTGAAGGTCTCACATTCCCACTGTTTCCAGCCAGAGCCAGCACCTTACCTTAGTACCATTTCAGTGTCTTGTGCATGACCTACACATCTCAGTTGCTCCTACCAATATTGGGTATTGACCTCAAAAGCCACATCCTTCCTTACTAATACCCTGTGCTACCTCACCTGCTGTTCTCAGGTCTATGTAATATGGGCAGTGTCTAGTCATCATCTCCCTCTCTACCTCGTGTGTGTGTGTGTGTGTGTGTGTGTGTGTGTGTGTGTGTGTGTGTAAAAACTCCCCTACTACCTGCCAAGGAAAATGGTAGCTTTGAGGAAGCTCATCTCTGTTTATCTCTGTGAGTAGGAAATATGAACTGTACAGCATGGACTGGGACCTGAAGGAGGAACTCAAGGATTGTTTGGTGGCTGCTGCACCCTATGGAGGTCCCATTGGTATGCTACCCCTCTGTCACTACTATGTATTGTGGGGTCCCAGGATGTTGCGCAGGTTGTTCTCTTCTACCTTGCTAAAATGCTTTCAATTTGGGTCCTCATGAGGTGTGGTTCCCTTGGGGTGGCTGTGAGGCACTAGTCCAGGAGGCTTACCTCACATGGGGCCTGAGGATCTAGGACAGAAGTCCTTTCTCAAAATGCAGCTCTACTGAGGAACTGTGGGAGAAAAGAGAAAGCTGCCAGTGTGCGGCCAGTACTGGAGATCTACTCTGCTTCTGGCGTCCCACTGGCCAGCCTGCTGGTAAGCATGGGACCTGTCCCTACTGTGTGATGGGCAGGGCTGACTGACTCCAAGGAAAGCATTGGAACCTCTCTCCTCCACAGTGGAAGAGCGGGCCTGTGGTGGCCCTTGGCTGGTCAGCTGAGGAGGAGCTGCTCTGTGTGCAAGAAGATGGCACAGTGCTAGTCTATGGGCTTCATGGAGACTTCCGGAGGCACTTCAGCATGGGCAATGTAGGACCACGGGAGCCTGAGGAGGGAAGGTGGATCTTGTCACCTGGAGACTTCTTAATTTCTTAATTTTGCTAGGAGGTGCTTCAGAACCGAGTCCTAGATGCCCGGATCTTTCACACTGAGTTTGGTTCTGGGGTGGCCATCCTCACAGGGGCCTATCGCTTTACCCTGAGTGCCAATGTGGGTGACCTCAAACTCCGTCGGATGCCAGAGGTACCAGGTAAGCCCTGATAATTAAGAGAGCCCTTCAGTACCATAGATGTGCCTCCGGATTGGGACCAGCAGAGACAGACACTGTGCACTTGGGTCATTCCAAAGTGTGCTCTTGTCTGTCACAGGTCTGCAAAGTGCACCCTCATGTTGGACCACACTGTGCCATGAGCGAGTTGCGCACATTCTTCTGGCTGTAGGGCCTGATCTTTACCTCTTGGATCATGCTACCTGCTCCACAGTGGTGAGAACCTAACAGGGAATGAAATAGAAGAGCTGGCTAAGTAGTGGGAAGGCACTGAGAAATCAGTTTATCTGATTTTCTCTCTGGCCCTGCCTCAGACACCTGCTGGTCTAGCCCCAGGAGTGAGCAGCTTCCTACAGATGGCTGTATCCTTCACATATCGTTACCTGGCACTCTTCACAGACACAGGCTACATCTGGATGGGGACAGCATCACTCAAGGTGTGGTTCTGAAACAACAAGGGGAAGTGTGCTTTGTCCAGGGAAGATCTATTGTGGATAGGGTCATGGCTTTTCAACAGCAGGATGACTACTGGGACAGGGCTATGACATGCTGTGCCATTTCAGGAGAAGCTGTGTGAGTTCAACTGCAACATCCGGGCTCCTCCGAAGCAGATGGTCTGGTGAGGACAGAGGCATTCTTTAAGGCCGGGATTAGGACATAGCCTTGTTTCCTGGGATAGCTTGGGTCATCCTGTCTTCTGTTCAGACTAAATGGAGCTTAGGCATTCTCTTCTCTGCCAGCCTTAAAGGGAACCATTGTCCTTTGTGGCTCACTTGACTGGCAGTGCAGACGTGAGAGGGGAAACAGATGGGTCATTATATAGCCAGAGAGATGGACTAAGGACACAGTATGTTCAGGGTTGTCCCAAGGAGAAGGAGTGCAAGCAGTGATGTAAAAGATATGGCCGTGGGCCTGATGTCCTGAGTGTCTCAGATACGTATATGATGTTTTCCATAGGTGTAGCCGTCCTCGAAGCAAGGAAAAGGCTGTTGTGGTGGCCTGGGAGAGACGGCTGATGGTGGTGGGCAATGCGCCTGAAAGCATTCAGTATCCTTGGAACGCTTCCTATGTGGGCTGGAAGAGGGAGGGGAAAGGGGAGTTACTCGGTCTTTGGGTAGAAGCCTTAACTAAACTCAGGTTTGTGCTAGATGAGGACTCCTACTTAGTGCCTGAGCTTGATGGGGTCCGCATCTTCTCCCGCAGCACCCATGAGTTTCTGCATGAAGTTCCAGGTGAGGCTCCCACAAGGCTAATGTTACCCAAAGCTGGTGCTCCTGACCACAGACCACCACACTGTCCTATGACAATGGCCCCAAACAGGGTCTGGGTGTTAGGGGCAAAACTGGGAATGCTTATGCCTCTTCAGCACTGCTTAAAAACTCTTCCCCTAGTGGCCAGTGAGGAGATCTTCAAAATTGCCTCAATGGCCCCTGGAGCACTGCTGTTGGAGGCCCAGAAGGAATATGAGGTAAGTTCTGGTCAACTTGTAAGACTCCCTTCCTCTTTTCCTGACTAGACTAGCCCTCTGCCCCCGTCTGAGTACCCATGATAAGCCAGGTACCACCTGGCAGGGGAGGGGTTTAGGTGAGACACTGACTTGAACTGACAAAGGCTAGCACATTTAAACTGGCTGGACAGGGCAAGGCCTCTCTACTGTACCCAGGCTCAAGTTGGTGCTACTGTTAGGAGGTTATCAATCACCCCTACCCCACCCCTACACAGTAAGAGATTGTGGGCCCTTCCAGTAGTTTGAGTGGATTGGGTTTTTTTGGCTTTTCCAAGTCATTTCCACTTGAACTATGTAGTTCCAAGAGGTTCGGAGCCACAGTGAGGTGTTCTCTGTGATGCTCCATCTCTGGGCATCTCCCCACAGAAAGAGAGCCAGAAAGCAGATGAGTACCTACGAGAGATCCAGGAGCTGGGACAGCTAGTCCAGGCTGTGCAACAGTGCATTGAGGCTGCAGGACACGAGCACCAGCCAGACATGCAAAAGAGTCTGCTCAGGGTTGGCCTGGAGGGAGTTTGGGGGGTGGGTGCTGGGAATGGGGTGGGCTGGCCAGCGAGGGAAGTTCTTTTCCATTACCCTTTGGTCCTTCTCAGGCAGCTTCCTTTGGAAAGTGTTTCCTTGACAGATTTCCACCTGACAGTTTCGTACGCATGTGTCAGGACCTGCGAGTGCTCAATGCTATTAGAGACTACCACATTGGGATCCCTCTGACCTATAGCCAGTATCCTCCTGTATACCATGAGGGTGTTTACAGCTGGGCGTGGCAGGGGAAGGGGCAGGAGATGTGATCTGCAGATCCCTGGCAAACAGGTCTCATATCAACTGGATCCTTAACCGAGGAAAATACAGATACAAGCAGCTCACCATCCAGGTGCTGCTGGACAGGTACAGACGCTGGGGTGCTGGAGGAGGGCAAGGGTGCATAGTATTACAGCCTTTTGTAATACTTGTGGGCTCTACTCCTCACAAGCCTTTTAGGACTAGGAGACCTAAGACAGTCTGGGGTCATTCTGCCTACTCTACCTCACTTTGCTTCAGCCCCTGTGTCCTTTATTTACTCCCTTGTCTGCCAGGCTTGTATTGCGGAGGCTTTACCCCCTAGCTATTCAGATATGCGAGTACCTGCGCCTTCCTGAAGTACAGGGTGTCAGCAGGATCCTAGCCCACTGGGCCTGCTACAAGGCAAGGACATGGGATGTCAGGTAACCTTAGGCCCTGGGAAAATATAGGAAATACAGAGCACTGAAATAAAGGGTGGGTTCTGACGGAGGTCCTGTGGGACTGAGCAGGTGAAGGGTGGCATCCAGATTTGTGTGACACTCACATACACACTTACAGGTGCAGCAGAAAGATGTCTCAGATGAGGATGTAGCGCGGGCTATTAATCAGAAGCTGGGCGACACACCTGGTGTTTCCTATTCTGACATTGCTGCACGAGCCTATGGCTGTGGCCGCACTGAACTAGCCATCAAGGTGTGATTATGTTACCTTTCCCAGACACCCTAGTGTGGGTGTTCCAGGCCTTTAAGTAAGTGCCTCTCCTTACTGTCTACTCCACTTCACAGCTGCTGGAATATGAGCCACGATCAGGGGAGCAGGTACCTCTTCTCCTAAAGATGAAGAGGAGCAAACTAGCACTGAGCAAGGCGATTGAGAGTGGGGACACTGACCTGGGTGAGCAGGGTATGGGTGAGGGCCAGGTAGCAGTAAGACAGTAAGGTGAGTGAGCCCTATAAGGTACAGAGCTGGGCTGGAGGCCCTACCTACGTTATCACCTCACAGTGTTTACAGTGTTGCTGCACCTAAAGAATGAACTAAATCGAGGAGACTTTTTCATGACTCTCCGGAACCAACCCATGGCCCTGAGTTTGTATCGACAGGTAGATGCGTGTGAAGGGGAGGAAAGGGTTGGGACGTTTTGAGCCCTTGAGTTGGCTTTTCTGATTGATCTTCTGCCCATGACGCAGTTCTGTAAGCATCAGGAGCTAGACACTCTGAAGGACCTTTACAATCAAGATGACAATCACCAGGAGTTGGGCAGCTTCCACATCCGAGCCAGCTATGCTACTGAGGAGGTCTGAGGTCCAAGGGGAAGGGTGGACCTTTGCATTAGTTGCTGCTTGGTTCTTTTACCAAGACCTAGCCCTTTGTGTTTGGCTACACCCTCCCTGGTCATATGTGTTGAGGGAATCTGAGAACACGAGGCAAGGATATGACACTAATTTCAAAGGAGCTAGCTAGCTTCTCTAGGGACACCAGAGGAATGCCCCTAGTGGATAAGGCTGACTCTGGGCACAAGGGTGGAGAGAGGCAAGTTTAATTAATGTTTTATCCTCTGCATACCTTTGTGTAGAGAATTGAGGGGCGAGTAGCAGCTCTGCAGACGGCAGCTGATGCCTTCTACAAGGCCAAGAATGAATTTGCAGCCAAGGTTTGACTGCCTTTTCTAAAAGCTTCCTATCCTAATTTCTTCGTATTTCTGTTCTGGCCTTCATCCCCAGCCTGCCTCTTTCTGTTCTCCAGGCCACAGAAGATCAAATGAGGCTCCTGAGGCTACAGCGGCGTCTAGAAGATGAGCTGGGGGGCCACTTCCTAGACCTGTCTCTACATGACACAGTCACTGCTCTTATCCTTGGAGGCCAAAACAAGCGTGCAGAGCAGCTGGCACGTGACTTTCGCATCCCTGATAAGAGGTGGGTGATGATCCCAGACGTATATAATCCTGGGCCCTCTTGCCTTTCCTGCACTCGTATGTTGAGCCCGGCTTCCCTGCAGGCTCTGGTGGCTAAAGCTGGCTGCCCTGGCAAATTTGGAAGATTGGGAGGAGCTGGAGAAGTTTTCCAAGAGCAAGAAATCACCGATTGGCTACCTGGTGAGGCAGGGGTTGTCCTGGGCATAGTCCCGGGAGGGGGCCAGGCCAGGGACGTGGGGTTGATGGCTATTTGTGCACCACTCCACTGTCCTGTGTTCGTGTGCCATGTGAATGTGTGCAGACTGTATACTGTATGGGGAAACTCTGGAGGACCGGCCCAAGCTGCCTCCAACTAGTGGTGGAAGAAGTTGCTTTATCCGGTAAAGACTACAGGAGGCACTATATGCCTGAGGGCAGAAGGGACAGGGAGAGCCATCTATGAGGCAGTGGAAGATATTGAGGAGGCAGTAAAGACATGGAGGGCAAATTTCATGGTGGCAGCTTGAGAGAAAATACAGTATCTGAGAAGACAGCAGGCAGACACACCTTCCTTGGTGGTAGAGTAGAAGCCTGAAGATGATTTTTTTCAAGTCTCTAATAGGTCTTTGGTTTATTTTTGTTATAAAAATAGGGAGCTCCATATTGTTTTGCACAGGTGGGAGGGGGACGAGTTACACTGGCTGTATATAAAATACCTACATACAATGTGTCCTCTGGGCTTCTGCTCCTAAGAGACAGGAAAGAGGGCTAGTCTTTGTCTTCTCTGTCTTGTGAAGCCCTTTGTAGAGATCTGCATGAAACAACATAACAAATACGAAGCCAAGAAATATGCTTCCCGGGTGGGACCTGAGCAAAAGGTCAAGGCTTTGCTTCTTGTCGGGTAAGTCAAGTGGAGGCCTCTGTGGTAGCTGGAGTGGCCTGGTGCTCTTGAACAGCCCCAACACCATCTCCCTTCTGCTCAAACCACAGGGACGTGGCTCAGGCTGCAGATGTGGCTATTGAGCACCGGAATGAAACCGAGCTGAGCCTGGTTTTGTCCCACTGCACTGGAGCTACAGATGGTGCCACAGCTGACAAGATTCAGCGGGCCAGAGCACAAGCCCAGAAGAAGTAAAATGCTTGCCCTTTAGGGGGCTAGTTATAACCTAGAGGTGTCCAGATGTAAATAAATTTGGAACACTAATTCAGAATAGTTGTTGTATGCTGTCTAGCCTAAGAAAAGCAAGCTTGAGGCAGAATCTTCTAGCTACTGCAGCAGAACTCCACATATTTGATTGCATTGAAGCTGGGGATAGGAACTTATAAGAGAGACCTGTTTATTCACACAGTTACTATAGTTGCTCTCTCTGATGCTGTCTCATAGCCTGGAGGAAGGTATGGAGAGAGCTGGTATAAAATTGAAGCCCCAATCCAGCAAGACCCACAACAAAAAGCATTAAATGCATATGTGTCTTCTCACAAGACCCATGCTATTCATTATTTCATTCATGACAGTTCTAAGATGTAGAACATCCTTCTCTCTGTAAAAAAGAAAATTGCGAACCAGAGATTGGTAACAACAAATATGTTATAAAAGAAGGATTTGGGCTAGCAAGATGGCTCAGTAGCTAAAGGCTCTTGCCATCAAGCCGGGCAACTTGAGTTTAAACCCCTGTCCTCTGACCTTTACCCACATATATACACACACATGGAATGAATGGGTCGATGAAGGAGTGAGTGAATGAGTGAGTGAGTGAGTGAGTGAGTGAGTGAGTGAGTGAGTGAGTGAGTGAGTGAGTGAATAAAACTAAATAGAAATAAATGAGGATTTGAAACCTAGGTTTGACTCCAGGCTGAAACTGAAGTCAGGCCCTCTGAACTGGGAAGACTGAGTCAAGGCCCCTAAATTGCTTGAAGTAAAAATTGGAGGATGGATGGAAAGCCATGACCATCCCATTGTCAGGGTTGAAGGAAACAGCACTGAGAGCCTTGGCTATTAGTAAGTAATGAGCAGTTCTTGGGTAGATTCTGAGTTTGGAAAAATAGGGCTGCAAGGTCATCTCAGTTCTGTCCAGGAGCTATGAACTGGAAACCTCTAATCCCATCCTACTTCAGTGAGTACTTCACCTCCAGGCAACAAGAGGGCTGTGGCTTTCTGCTTTGGGTTTGCAGCCCCAGACTGTACTCCAGTGTACTGTAGCATGCCCACATGTCAATGAGGTGAGTCCTTTGCTTCATGTCCCCCCGCCCAATACACACACTTGTTAGCAGGAAGAAACTAAAGCCTAAAGGAAAGGACCTTGCTAGAGCTTCTAGCATTTTCTTCTTTAGCCTTCTAGTCATAACTATACTTTAAAAAGGCAAGAGAAGCAAGGCATGGCGGCATGAACCTGTAATCCCAGTACTTGGAAAGCCAAGTTAAGGAGATTGCTGTAAGTTCAAGGCAAGCATAAGCTGTATAACAAGACCCAGTTAATGGGGGATGTCCTGTATGCTGTGAATGTAAGTTTCTCTTATTGGTTGATGAATAAAACTGTTCCAGCCAGTGGACAGGCAGGATGTAGTCAGGCAGGAAGTATAGGTGGGTCTACTAGACTAGGAGAATTCTGGGAGCAGGAACACATAGAGTGAGTTATGAGGGAGATGCCATGTAGCCACCTGTGAAGGTAGGGCACCTAGGTAAACCAAGACTAAGTGGAGATACACAGACACGCTGTCTCCAAAAAAACGTGCATGACTGAAGTCCCAGAATTTAGAGGGTGTATAGGTAGGATGACTGCTACCAGCCTGGGCTATATAACAAGTTTCAAACCAGCTAGAGCTACATATCTACACCCTGTCTCAAAAGACAAAGCAAGTAGGCTGGAGAGATTGTTCAGCAGTTAAGAGCACTGGCTGCTTTTCCAGAGGACCCAGGTTCAATTCCCAACGCCTACATGGCAGCTCACAACTATCTGTAACTCCAGTTCCAGGGGATCTGATACTTTCACACCAATTCACATTAAAGAAAAAAGAAAGAAGGAAAAAGAGAGAGAGATTATGGGCTTGGCAAGGTATTGCTTCCTTTATTCCCATGTAATTTTGTGAAATGCAAGTTTGTGAAAATCCTCCAAGAAAATATATTTCATTGTAAAACAACTACTTACTCTGACAATAATTTATTATGTGGGTCAAAAATGTGGACAGGATTCAACAGCAATACTTTATTTCTGGCTCATAGCTCTAGATATCAACTGAAAGAAAGCTCAAAGGCTAAGGGAGACTTGATAGCTGGGGGCTGAAATCACCTGGAGGCTTGTATAATTTTATGTCTGGTTTGGACCAGAACAGCTACAGCCTGGTGTACCTCACAATGAAGGGAAAGTGTTCTCTGTGGTAGCCAGATGGGAATCTGTTGCCTTTCTTAGTGTAGCACTGAAGTCTGACATGTCCCACCACATTCCATCAAGGCAGTCTTCTAAGCCTACTGTACCTGTCTCAACATGAAATCGGCTCACCTCTTGATAGGGGAGTGCAAGGGTCAGGGAAGATTGTGGCCTGTTTGAGGAGTCAGTTTGACTTAATCTTCTCTTTGGAACAAGAGAAGGGAGGAAAAGGACCTCTAATGCTGGACACGTTTCCTCCCCAGTCAGCCTCACGGGTCCTTATTACTCTAGTATCTCTTTGATGTCCCTTGAAGATTGCTGCTGACATTTAAGTTCTTATTGAAAACCAGTTCTTTCTGGGAAAGAAGAATTGGTCAGTGCTTTTAGAGTGTATGTGATAAATCTACATCTCCAAAGTAACATGCAAACAGTAAACACTACACCTGAACTCATAGAAATATATGAGAAATTACAGTAATGGCATATGGATACAGTGAATGTAACTTAAGTACATGTAGGGCTGGAGAGGTGGCTCAGCTGTTAAAGGCTAAGCTTACAACCAAAAAAAGTACATGTATAAAGCACTGGACTTGTCATAGGGAGAGTCACTAAATATTAAAAGAGAGGGCTTTTAATGTATGCAGTCATATTAGCCAGCCCAATAGATATCTTGTCACCATGACACACAAACACATCACTGTTAAGCCATAACCTTTCCTTTCTTGTTCATCCCCAAGATCACACATTAATACCTATATTACAATATGACCATTCCAAATTTTAAAAATTCAAACACTTAAAAAATAAGTCTCTTGGCCGGACCGCTGAGAATCGTGCGGCATCCTCTGGCCAGGGGCGTCTGCGGGCTTGGGGCCGCGGCCTGTGCGTGGCGGAGACGGGCGCCCGTCCACTCGCCGCGACCCACCCGGGCCCGGGGTTGTGCCGTGTCCGGGAGGCGGCCTCCGGCCTGAGATCGGGAGGACTGAAGTGGGAGTGGGTGCGGGTCCTGCCGGGGTCTCGCCAGAGCCGTCGCCCCCAGCGTGCGGGGAGCGCGTCCCTAGTCGCGGGTGTGCCGTCAGGCACCCCGTTAGAGTTTATGGGCCTCCGCAGGCCTGCACCTAACTAACCTCGTTTCTCACGTGGGAAATAGTAGCATTCGTACAGGCCCCGTCTGTAAACCGGAGAGTAGAAAGGGATGTTAGAAAGGCAGGTCCCACAGGACTAGAGTGCTCCTGAGCCATGGTTACCCCTCCGAGCCCGACACATTGCCTGTCAGGGTGCCCCTAGTAGAGTAGGACCGATGCCATGTGTTTACATTTCTCCGAATAATTTTTCTTGTCTCCACCGAGGACGGCAAAGCCACGCAGAGCAAACATCGTGCCTTTTCGAATCGTGTTTGTTAGCCTAATTTGAGGGTGCCAGCAGGTGACTACATCCTAGAGTTGTCCTTGTGCTTTTGGCAAATAGGCCTCTAATAGTGTATGAGGGGGGCACTACACAGATCCCAGGTATGGTTGAGACCCACTTTTAAGGCCTAGGGGGCTGGTGTGTGGAGTGGCAACATCTTGGTTTTAGGAGGAGAATAAAAAAAAAAAAAAAAAAAAAAAAAAACAGGCTTTGGCAAAGTGTTTTCCCGGACAGACCCTCCTGTTTGCTAGAATGTAGCCTGATTTCCGTCAGAGTGCCACTACCGGTACTAGTTTCTTCTGAAGATGTCGGTGACTTAATCTGGAACTTAGCCTCAGAAATGGCACCTCGAAAGGGGAAGGAAAAGAAGGAGGAACAGGTCATCAGCCTTGGGCCTCAAGTGGCTGAAGGAGAGAATGTATTTGGTGTCTGCCATATTTTTGCATCCTTCACTGACACCTTTGTCCATGTTACCGATCTTTCTGGCAAGGAAACCATCTGTCGGGTGACTGGTGGGATGAAGGTAAAGGCTGACAGAGATGAGTCTTCTCCATATGCAGCCATGTTGGCTGCCCAGGATGTCGCCCAGAGATGCAAGGAGCTGGGCATCACTGCCTTGCATATCAAACTCCGAGCCACAGGAGGAAACAGGACCAAGACCCCTGGACCTGGAGCCCAGTCAGCCCTCAGAGCTCTTGCTCGTTCAGGGATGAAGATTGGACGGATTGAGGATGTCACCCCCATCCCCTCTGACAGCACCTGAAGGAAGGGAGGTCGTCGTGGTCGCCGTCTGTGAACAGGGCTTCTCAAATTACTTTCTGTTAATAAATTGCTTTGTATAAGCTAAAAAAAAAAAAAAGGTCTCTTTAAAATACCCAGTCTGTTAAAATAAAGAAATCTGTAAAATCCTCAAATCTCTCAATTGTGGGCTTATGTAAAATTAACAATCAGTTGAAGACTTTCTCACTTCGAGAGGGAAGAGCCAAGGCACAGTCACAAAGCAAAGCCAGATTCCGACAGTGTAAATAATTCCTTGTCCAATGTCTGGGATCCATTCAGGGATCTGAACTCCACAGGGCTTGGGTCTCTTCGAGACTTTGCTGGCTCCACTCCACTATTGCGGATCTTTGTGGTTATCTCATGATGCTGACATCTCCAAAATGTTGGAGTCTGTTGCTGCTACTGGGCTGCACTTTTCACCAATAGCCTCTCATGGACTCTCTTCAGGGAGTCCAGTGCTGCCACACAGTGACAAGCCTCAGATGCCCTCCATGACCCCTCCATGCCTTCAAAACCAGTTCTGAGTAACTCTTACACTACCAAGTTTGGCTGCCAACAGGAGATACAGCCTTCTGGAACACTTGTGGAATACACCTGTATATTGACCCTGAGGTCAACACTTGGCATGTTCTTTTCTTAATCACAGCTGAATCTTCAGC